CAGTACAATGGATTAACACTTTGATTTGTCGTTAATTGCACATGTCGGCATTCAGTTGGATATTTTCGAGCACACAGACACGCAGGAACCGCTGCAACAAGCACGAAATGTGGTTGGTTGCAAAAAACAGTTCCCTGCTGTCACCTGATCTGACACTGATCATTTTGCCTATTTCCTTAAGAAATTTAAGGGTGTTGGGGTCCATCGGGCCGAGAACCTCGATGCATATTGGCAAGAATTCCATCGAGGGGAGGGCATTCCCATATTTTTTCATTTTCTCGTCCGCTGCCCTGGCCGCGGCCAAACCGCATTCTTTACTTGACAGGTTTACGTATCGTTCGGCGAGGGTGCCAGGGACCGTAACATCCCACGCCAAACATCTGCCGGCTCTCCAAGGTATTAGCGTGCATCCGTCCGGTCGCCTACCATCATGCGCAGAAATGCCGGATGGTTCCTTGAGAACCGGGATTGAATCCTTGGAGAAGAGCCGACAAATGTAATCGTTTAGCGCTGAGTGACGTAGTTGACGGCCCCCACCCAGGCGACAAACCAAACCGTGGTGCCCAAACTCGTCCGCCTCAGCGCCGCATCGGCACGTGTATTTATTCTGAATGACCAGGCCAAGTCTGAAGCCAATGGCAAATCTTACAGACTCGTCGTCAAGCCTGGTGCCCACAGAGGTGTTAGGCCACGATCTCAACCACCCACAGCTGGCAACGCTGGACATGGCCAACAAACAAGCGGTGGAAAAGTCGTCGCCGCATGAAGACAACAAATTTTGAAATATTTTTTTATATTCTTCGTTCAAAATTTGGACGTGCGTACGGTCCCCCGGGGCGGACGCTGGGGGAAGAATATCGCGGCAACGAAAAAACCGGTGGAGCAGGGCAGACTGTAGGTCGAGAGTGGCAGCGGCAGAAGAATTATAAACAACGGGAGCCAACTGAACCACGCTAAGCAACCCCAGCCCACCAAATCGCACCGGCAGCTGAGCCTGGGACCAACCACTGTCGGTCACTTGAACATTGCAAATCGACGACAGGGCGGTGCGCAGGGCTCCGTCAAATTTGCCCAATTTAGAAGTGTCAATGTGTTTAGATGTACGCAGGAAGTACATCAATTTGGGCAAACTGAGGGCATTGCGGATAATAGTCAAGGCATCATGGGCCGAAAGACAGGAAACACGACCCAGGGCGAATTCAAGCTCAGAGAGCTTTTGGTCAAAAAACTTTATTTGATAATCGCCCTCGACCAAGGGTGTGCCCAAAAAACTCAGTTCTGATGCACCAACTTTGGGTATTTCAGCCAGCGCATGTGGCACCTGAAATAAACTTTGGCAGTGAAGTTCGCATTTTTTAATGTTTAACTCTAAGCCAATCGCAGCGGAGTTATGCTTCAAATATTCGTAGCTATCGGCCAGAGTTGGACCGTCCGAAGCTATGCTGATATCATCCAGATAAGCGCAAACGAAGGTGGACGAAGCTTTCTCTAAGAGTGGATGAAGAGTTAGTGCGAACAACAAAGGACCAAGGGGATCACCCTGTTGTACCCCCTCGGACGATTCTACAACCCAAGAGTGGTAGCCAAGGGAAGAGACTCCGCCATAAGCAGAATGGCAAAAATTATAGATGTTGGGGCAAAAAAGTTTGACAGCCTCCAACATCGAGTCTCTTCTCAAGGCATTGAAGGCATTTTTAAAGTCCAGTTTCAGAAACCCCCATTGATCGGGGAGGTCGGTGACCAATCTTCGAACCGCATGAACAGCGGCCTCAGCGCCACCCTTAATCCCGACACCCAACTGAGTCGGGTAGAACTTGGTCTTGAGTTCGAAATTTTGTATGTATGTATGTATGTATAGTTATTGTTGTAATTTCTGTTGTTAAACATGAATGTGAATGAAAGCATATAGCATCTTTTAAAAACAAATTTTTATAACAGTATGAATTGTATATTAAAATGTAAATTGGGTATAAATCATTCATAACAATTAAGTTATTCTTATTATTAATTTAATAATCAAACTGTATCAATTAGTTCTAATCAATCATTATTAAGATTAGTTTCACCATCATTCAACACTGCTCTTCATTTAAATTCATTCTTCTGCTGCAAAAGGTAACAAACTAAAGATTATAACCAAATTAATAATGGCTACAAACATGGCTACTGATATGTTATTATCTGAAAAACTTCTCTAATGCTATTACTACATATTACTTAAAATATTGTTTAGAAAATTTTCTAAGATCTTCTTAAAACACTACTACTCTACATAATCAAGTTGTCGTGAATAAAATTGAAGCCAATGCCCTGAGACTTTGAAACGCACTGGAAAATGTGGATAGTTCAATACATTGCCTTGTCACTCAAAAAAATGCAATTAGCCAAGCATGTGGGAAGATGCTTAAGCAAACGAAGAAAGAATTATGCATCCAAAAAAAAACATTATGCCATACGCAATACAAAACATCATATTAAAATACATTATGCAATATAAAATTGAAATACATTATAACATCACTAACTGAAGATAAATTTATACTAAACAATTTAATGCATTAACATTGCGGTATGTTTAGTAAAACATCAGGGGGAAAGCATCAGTTAGAATTACTACAATGAGAAAATTCAAAATGAATATAGTTTACTAATTAAAATTTTGTTTTTATTGTTGTAGTAATTTCAATTACTTCAGGAGTATTTTCATAAATAAAAGAAATTCTTAATTATTAAAATAATGCCCATTCATAGTTACGCAAGGAATGTTATTATTATATAAAAAAAATTTAGTTCGTTAAGCGGTAAAGATTCTTTTTCGGCTTTTTTTCTTCTTTTTCTTCTTCTTAGTAGTTGTGGTAGTAACAGCAGCAGCACCAGCATTAGTTGTAGTGGTAGTAGTAGTGTTAGTAGTGTTGTCTATATTTTAGTAGTAGTAGTAGTAGTAGTAGTAGTAGTAATAGTAGTAGTAGTAGTAGCAGTAGTAGTAGTAGTAGTAGTAGTAGTAGTAGTAGTAGTAGTAGTAGTAGTAGTAGTAGTAGTAGCAGTAGTAGTAGTGGTAGTAGTAGTAGTAGTAGTAGCAGTAGTAGTAGCAGTAGCAGTAGTAGTAGTAGTAGTAGTAGTGTTATATAGATGTGATTTGTCATTTTCAAGCGTTCGAGAATGTTAATATCGCGATTCTATTTGAGGTTTTTTTGTTGATGTTTTTCTTGCTGGTCATGTGAGAATTTTTATTACAATAACTTGTGATGTCATCATTATTGTTGTTAATGTCTTTGTTGTTGTTGTTGTAGTTGCTGTAGTTGCTGTTAATGTTATTATTGTCATATTTATTGTTGTTGTTGTCGATGATGATGTCATTGCTGTTAATGCTATAGTCCATTTCAGAATTAACGTTAATGTCATTTCCGCTGATGATGAAAATTGCATCACTGTTATTATTATTATTGTTGTTGTTGTTAATGTTTTTTGTATTGTTGTTGTTATTGTTATTAATGTGTTTAACCCGAGAATTCTTGTTGGAATAATTTTCGAAACATCCGTTTTTAGTATCTTTGGCCTCGTTGTGGTTGTTGATGATGTCAGCGCCGTTATTGTACCCTGATGAATTATTGTTATTGTTGTTATTTTTATTTTTTTTCTTCTCCTTCTTATTATTATTATTATTATTGTTGTTATGTTTTTTATTGATGTGAGAATTTCCGTTACAATAATGTTTGATGTCGCTTTCATATTTGGACCGTTCAACATCACCATCATCATCATCATTATTGCTATTATTTTTATTATTATTTTTGTTGTCGTTGTTGTTGTTGTTGTTGTTCTTGTTGTTAAGCCTTTTGGTGATAAATGCGACTTTGCTGTTGACAAAATGGCGAATTCTTTGGCTCTGTCTGTTGCTGAGAATGTTGTTGTTGTTGTTGTTGTTATTATTATTGTTGCTATTATTGTTATCATTGTTACTGTTATTATTTACATTTCTGTTATTGATCTGTTCTTCCTCGTCATCCTTAATGGTGACATCATTTTTGTTGACATAATCGTCTATGTCGTTGAAGTAAATGTTGTTGATGTTGTTGTTGTGGAAGTTGTTGTTGTTGTTAAAATTGTTGTTGATGTCGCGAAGATTACTGTAGTCGTTGTGCGTTGCGTTGCATGGGATGGAATCATAAATATCACCAACTTCCACACCCTCTAGAACATTCCTTTCGTTAGGATGCTGTTGGGCTCCTTTTGGTGCCTTACATCTGAGTAAATTCATTTTTTTATGTTTTTGTCATACTTATTCAGTATATTTTCACTTAATTTATTATATTTGTTCATGGTATTTGTATATGAATGGATTATTTTTAGTGTATTACTTAAATTTTGATTAATATTTCATATTTTTGTTATGTTAAAACTAATTCAACACGATATTGTAGTGATTTTAAAGACATTAAAACAAATGAGTTATTATTCATTTTGCTATTTGTAGTTGTTATAATATAAAAAATATTTGAAATTCTAATTTATTTGAACTCCAACCTTTTCCAAAAAGTGATGACGACGACGACGATGATGAGAATGATGAAAGCAGGAATCCCGACACCAAGACCAATGGCCAGAGGTGATGACTTTGATGGTTTTGAAGTAAATGATGACAAATTTGATGATATTGAAGACGATTCTGGTGGTGTATCTTGCATATCTGGATCTGTTTCTGTGAAAATGAAATTATTTAGTATTAAAATGATTATTCCGTCTCTTTAAAATTGAAATTTTTTGTTATCAATAGTTATTCAAGATCTAATTGTTTGATTAAAATTACATCAGGCCAGAATGAAATTTCTGTAAAAATATTCATTAAAAACGAAATTTTATCTAATATAGAATGTGTAATGTGTGTTTTGGACAAGAAATAGAATAAATAACTGAATAATTAACTATGAAGTTATTTAATCTGCAGATCTAGTTAATAATTCAAACTGAAGAATACGTAGAGTAGAGCAGTTGAAATAATCTCAGGTAACAAAAAATTATTAACCTTGTTGCTGGCAGTAGCAGATGTATTTGTAGCTAATTGATCTCATGGAAGCAGCAAACCAGTAGCATTCACAGTCGGAAATGTGAGACAGTCCACAAAGAAGGTAAACAGCCGTGCCAAAGAAACTTTGCAGCAATGGATTCTGATAAATATAGGTTCCATCTGATTTCCAATAAGGATTACTTTCATCTGATTTGACATTCAGCCACAATCTTTCGTTCACTAAATTGTTTTTCGCACAGACGTATTTTTCAACTTCGGCCTGCATTACCTCATTTTTTATTTCTAACAAACCTAAACCCTGGCTGGCGCAATCCTTTATAGCCCCATCCAAAGTTTTAGAGGATTTCGACTGAACAAAGTAGGTTCTGTCAGGACATGAGCATGTCACAGGATGGGTGACTGCCAATAAGCAGAAGGGAACGACTGGAAATAAAACAAATTTTCTGACATTTTTTTAAAAATAAAACAAAGCCTCTTATTTATAAGTGTTTCTTTTAACATTTTAAATCAATGTTTCAACTATCTCTATCCTTAGTTACTAATGAATAAAAATTTCCTATATTTCAAAATTACGTCAAAACAGACAAAGACTGCTTACTTGCGATGCTTTTTCTAAACATCTGGAATCAATATTTCACAATTCCAAACAATATTCATCCCTTTTCCTCAAAAATTAACTCTCAAAATAAAAAAAATGAAACAATTTTTTGAAAACAGCAACGCCAAAAGCAAATATTACTATGCACACTTATCTAATCTCACCATGTAAAACCACTTACTTACTTACTATAGCTAACGCATACCGACCTGTCAGCTAACAGCAGCTATTTACAGCTCTTCATTGTCAAATAACTTTCAGCTATGTATTGTTTCATAGCTTAACAATAACAAGTGTTAATTTTCGTGTTGTTATTGAATTGGGGTTTCATCGCGTTATTCCACATGCTACGTTATTTCTATTTCGAGTTATTTTAAATAATGTATTTATAGTTTGAAACATTATGGAAATAAGTTTGTGGTGCTAGTTTTGATGATCTTTGCAAGAGAATGATGTCATTTGGTTGCCAGGTAGTGTGGCGGTTAAGAGGTCAGGTTGTCTGTTGCAGTAGCCAGGTTCAAATGCAAAAAGATCCTTGCCATCACTTGTAGAAAATAATAATCTGCGGATTTAAAAAAAAATTGTTTGTTCATAGTACTTAAAACAAAAAAATTTGTTTCGATTTTATATTTCCATAACATCTCATTGTACCTTGTTAAACATAAAATGTAATGTAGATACAATGTTGTTTCAAAAAGTTGAAGTTGCTTGGGCATAGAAAAATTGTTGTTAAGTTAATAAAATGTGAGATATTTTTTATTCTCGTGCTAACAGTTGATTTTTTAAATTCAGTTTTTTGTAAAGGTAGATTGTGACGATGTTGAAGTTGACAACAAAGATGAATATCATCATCATCGTCGTCGTCATCATCATCGTCCTCATCATCGTCATCACCTTCATTAACATTACTGCACTTATAATTGAACATTAAAACGCTGAACAGACAGCCTACTGTAACTTTGAAAATTAAAGCGCTTCTAGTTTAATAGAATGACTTAAGACTTGAGTCTACAATTGAAAGCAGCCAGACAATGCGTTCTGCGACTTTTCAAGCGTTTTATTTTTAAATATTAACGTGGAAAAGGTTAAATACTAAATTACTAATAATAAGAAAAGTGATGGTCTTAAATTTACTAAAAATATTGTTGACGAATTAGACCATGATGGTTCACCAAATTTAATTTTGCAATATTTAATAGAAATAAAAAGCAGTTAATACATTTCAAAGTATTAGACATTTTATTTAACATTAGTATGATTGGAATAGTTTACTAAACAATAGTTACTTTCATACACGACCATGATGCTGAAATATTACTAAGAAATGAACTTTTAAGAACTAGAACGTGGTGAATATTAATATCATTAAACATTTTGTACCAAAATTTACGTTTTTTCATGGAATTTACTAGAAAAATGCATAAAATATTTTAAAAATAGTCAAGAAAATTTTAATGAAAATTCAAATTTTCCAAAAAAAATCATTTAATAATCATTTGACAAAAATTCTTTAAAAATATATCAATAATACGCAATTCAAAAGTTTACGATAGGTTTTTTGTTATAAAGTTCATTGAACCACATGTGAATGATACAATATGCCTTCGTTCATACAAATTCACACAAAAAATTGTTGAACAGAGTGTATTAAAAATTGGTGATAGGGGAAAAGGGGGGGGGGGGTTTGGGCTAGTCCCCAGAAACTTTTGTGGTGAAGTAGAACCGACATTTTATTAAAATAAACAGTTTTTGTTCTTCGACTTAAACTTTTCACAATCTACACGCACACACGAAAAATGAAAAAAATATCAACATTACAATACCATAAACATTAACGTTTCAAACTACATAAAAATTACAAAGAAGTCAAACAAATCTAACTCCGACAATATTTTTAAACATTAGCAACACCACAAACGACTTGATAAACAACATAAACACAACATAACCAACAACTTGAACGTTAAAATACGCAACAACATCAACAACAACATCAACAACAAAACATCAACAACAACAGTAACAACAACAACATCAACAACAACAACATCAACAACAACATCAACAACAAAACATCAACAACAACATCAACAAAACTAACCAAATTGCATTAAAAAACAGTATTTAATGTAACATTATGACAGCTACTCTGTATTAGAAACATTGACAGCTTAAAAGCGTACACTAGTTCGCGATAATTCGGTTGATGTTCATTGTACAATGTATGTATGTATGTTTGTGTGTGTTTGTGTGTGTATGTGTGCTCGTTAGAGATATTACCTAATTGAAGACCGCCGTCTGTATATTTCATTATTTCAGATGGGTTGAAAAGTTAGCAGCGCCTGAAGCTTCATGTACTATTTAAATTAATCCCTTGTTGATTTTTTAAGATTATTTGATGAATTAATAAACTTTTTCAATGATTTTAGGGTCGATAAGTTAATTTTTAGCATAAATATGGCAGTAAATTGCTAAAACTCACTGTGAAAATGTTTATAAAACCAAAGTTGATAAAATCCTTAATTTAACAAAGTATTTTAGTTTGCAGCGCAGTAGGAACATTGTATTAATACATACACAATTTCGTATCGGCATGAGTTGAAGAATTTATTTTAACATAATAACAAAAGAACCCTATATCAGCATTACAATTGAAATTATTTCAGAGTATTATTATAGTTTAATTTGGTACAGGTAAGGCAGGAAGTTATATCAAAGATTAATATAGTTACTCCTAATACAAGTCTGATGAAATGTTCTATTAAGATGACTTCTGGTCGCGAAATGTTTGAGAAAAGTTTAATTTTATTCTAAATTTTTGTAAACTAATGATATCTTTCTTGATTTTAACACCGTAGTTCGTGTTGATAGTTGTTGTTTTGCGCGATTCCTATATTTTTCCGAGAAACACGATGATGAAGACGTCGTTAAGATTAGCGAAATGCATCTTAGGTGTGTTTGATTTTTTTTACCATTCACATTTTGTTATAATTTTTAAGTTCAATTTTGGTTGTTAAAATTTAACGCTAGGTTCAATTCAATGAGATATTTTTAAGCCATGCGCTTTTGTCAACACGATTCATGCTGTCAAACTGTCAACTGCACTAACAACTCCATCAAAATGAATAAACTAAAAAAAATAGAAAAGTAATTCTTAAAACATAAAAATTCTTAAAACATAAAGAAAATGAAATGAATGTAGTCACAAATGCAAAAATTAATTTGAATCATAAATACTATCAAAATTATTGTTATTTGTTCGGCTGGTGAGTTAGCTGTGTCTGTAGAAGAGCCATGTCTTTTTTTTTTATTAGTCTTTTATTATTGCAGCTCTGACATATGCAGAACCACTTACAATGTTACAGATATATTATCTATATATCTTTTATTTTGTCTTACGTTGTTATAGCCATGTTCGAATGCATTGTGCCAGAAAGTCGAAAACATCTTCACGTAATACACACGTATGAAGGTTGTGAGGGCAATACAGTCTTCGTGGCCTAAAAAGTTTAGCTGAATCTAAAATGATACACAAGCAGTTTTGAGTGTTTCAGAGCTTCTTAATTAACAACAATAACAAATCTTCGCCGTGATACATTAACAACCAATCACATTATTAAATCATTAACCAACAATAAGTTTAATTATTATTAATTACATATGTTTTTGTTCATGTACGTAATTTATTATCATCAAGATTTATGTCCGAATAATTTTGTTACATTCGCCATAATTCACAGCCGCAGTGATGTTATGCATGGCTAAAGTGAAATCAGCAGGTGTCACCGATGTCGCTTGTGAACGCGGTTTCCATTATCAAAACTTCCCAGAGGTTGTTTTATTTCCAACATGCCAATCGACATGCAGCTCGAGGAATATGACGGTTCTTGAAATTCGAAGTCCAGAGAATCTGACAACAGTAACTGAGATACTTACTAGCACTTTCAACAACGAGATGACTTGGTTGAATGTTCACTTTGATAATACCAACAACAAATTTTATTGGAACTCAGACAACAGTGAGATGTCGAGTGATCTATTCCCAAATCCCCAGTCCAATATTATTTCTCTTGCATATTATAACAAATTTTACAAACATTTGCGTGGAATATACGCAGAAGTAATAGCTTCTTGTGTCTGCTACAGCAACGGTTAGCAAAAGATGTTGAATTTAAAATTTTTTATCATTGTCACATCTTAATTGATAACCAAAATTGAAATTTAAAACGCTAACATTCAATAGTTATTTTCCATTATTGTTTTCTTACAAACAATCCCCTCACCAAATCATACAGACTCAAGTACTTTATCATTGAAAGGAGCTTCAAACGCCAATTACGAATGCGTGCACCAATTTTGTTATCAAAATTTTCATGATGAGGTTAGCTTCGAAACATGCCAATCAACATGTCTTCTGAGCAACATGATAGTTTTCGAAATTAGACCTCCAGAAAATCTGTTGACGATAGATGCGATGCTTACCAACACTTTTCAAAACATTTACACTTGGGTGAATGCGCGCCTGGATAGCACCATCAACAAATTTTTTTGGAATTCAGACAACAGTGAGGTCCCGAGTGATTTTTTTTCAAATCCTGAATCCTTGGGTACTGCGTATGCATTCATCGACACCCGCAATTCTAATTCTATTTCGGGAGCACAAGTAGGAGATATGAGATCTTGTGTTTGCTACATAAGCAGTTAGTAAGAACTTTTATGTTTTTTATCTATCGCTAGAATATAAATAATTCGCCTTCTTATGCCTAATGTTGAATGATGTTATTGGATTGTCAAGTATAACACGAAAACCATGCAAAATTCACGTTACTTTTTTCAATTGCACACAACTCCAATTAATCATAGTGGACAATGGCGGGTTTAGGGAGCAGCATTTTCTATTAAAAGTCTTTTGGTCCCACAGTCGAATTTTGAAAATTTCGACATTCTTGAAGTTTTAGCCTCCCGTCAACGTGTCTAGATCCGCCCCTGACAGCAGATGTCGTGAGATCGGCTCTGAACTTCGCAAGTGATGGAAAAGTAGTCATGGAAAGAAATAGAGAGTTCCAGAGAAAAAGGCCAGAAAAAGCAAAAGCAGATTTAGCAAAAGAGTGTTTAACAGGAGTTAAGAAGAAGTGAGAACGAGAAGACGATCGTAAACCGGGGCGATTAAGCTCAATTAATATATCTGATAAGTACTTAGAAAAAAATCTAGATTGAGACATAAATATTAATGTGCAAATTTTAAAAATTATTCTATATTTTATAGGTAGCCAGTGCAAAAGAACAAGTTATAGAGATATAAGAGAGAAGAAAGAGGCACAGTAACTAAACCAGATGAACAGCAGAGTTAAAAAGTTTTATTTATAGGATAGAATGTAGAATCATGAAGACCATAGTAGAGCGAGTTACAATAATCAGTCTTAGATAGAACTAAAGAAATGACAAGAAGGAGAAGAGTAGTATCGTCAAGAAAAGGCAAAAGTTTTTTTATTCTACGTAGATGAATGTAAGAACTTTTTGCAACACTATTAATCTGAGAAGAAAGAGACACACAAGAATCAAAGATAAAGCCTAGACAACGAAACTTATGAGAAACATTAAAAGCTTTAGAATCAGGTAAGGTAATAGAAGGAATAGTAATAGAGCGTTTAAATTTATTAAAACAAATTAATTCAAATTTAGAAGGATTAAGTTTAAGACACATAGATTCAGACATAGAGATAGATTATGATATCAATGTTAATAGTAACTGTACTATTTATAATAATAATATTTAACCTTATGCTAATAATATCATCAATAAGATCAAAATGAAAATTTATTCTCCAATCATATTTTCAGCTCGAAAGAAGCCATGCATTTACACATGTGTTCGTGGTATATGCTACCAAAACTATAAAGAGTCTGTATACATTTGGGAGTGCCGAATAAATTGCCTATTAATTAATATGGTAGTTCTTGAAATAAGAAGCCCAGAAAATTTGACGACTACGTATGAAATAGTTGCAACTACTTTTGGTAATCAGGTTACTTGGGTTAACGCTTATTGGAATAGTACCACTAGCAAATATTCCTGGAATTCTGATAAGAGTGAGGTTTCAAGTGGTCTTTTTGCAGACCCAATCACCTCTGCTAACACGAATGCATATTTTGATGAGAAAAGTAGAAGTTTGAAGCAAACCTCTGCCTTGAATAAAAATTCTTGCGTTTGTCAAACTGGTTAGTAGGAAATTTTTGTATTTAAATTTTGTGAAAATCTTTTTGTTATAACCGCCTCTGTTTGTAATGTTACAAAAAGTTTTGTTCAGTATTCACAATGTTAAAGTAAAAATGATAATAAATTGATTATTGATTATTATTTATAAATTATTAATTATTGAAGACATGATAAACATTTAAAATTTAATTAAAAAATTGACGAGAATAATGGAATGATTGGCAAGGTGATGGTGACTAACACGATTGTGAAAACCGAGAATCACCGTCTGGTAAATTTTTATATTTCATTTGATAAATTTGTGCAGACAGAACTCAAGACATAAATAACCAGCAAACTTCATCATCTTCATCGTCATTAACATCTTCATCATCATCACCATCATCGTCATCAACATCATCTTCATCAACATCATCTTCATCAACATCATCTTCACCATCACCACCAACATTATCCTCGTCTTCTTCTTCTGGATTTTATTTACCGACATCCACAACATCGGCATCATTTTTACCCCCACCATCATCTCAGCCATTTTCGGCACCAAATTATGGCCTGGTAATAGGTTTGCCAGTAGCAGCATCAGTTGTCGTTATCATAATCGTCAGCGTTATTATTGTCTTGGTCATTGTAAGAGTAAAAAAGTGAGTACAATGATGATACAGTGAAATTAATTTCGCTTCTGCGTTGTTAAATCGCGAGTTAAATAATATTTCTGCTATTTCTTCACCAATAATGTCATCGCTATTAAAATCATCACACTAGAAACAGACGACAAAGGAGAGCCTCTCTTGAACTCGAAGACGCACACGGTTATGCCGCTCTAGCCAATTCCAAAAACAACAACAACAACCCGGAGAATGCTACCTACGACACCATAAACCAGAACAACACTCGCGACTCATTATACGACACCAACATCAATGTCTATGACACCATAGGCGGCAACAGTGAGACGGTTGCAAGATGCAAGCCTACATGCTCGACGTCAGAAGAAACCATTCTCAGCAACAGTCTAATCGCGGACGATGGCAATGGCAACTACAACAACAACAGTAACAACAACAACAGCAACAACAACAGCAGTAACAACGCCACAATTGCTTAAACGGTTGCGAAAGTAACTTAGAAAAATAATTTTAACGTTAATAAACTAAACCTTGAATCGTTT